AGCGGGACGTGTGGGAGCAGCTGGAGTGTGAATGAACAAATGGACAAGCACTTGGAAACAAAAAGTTGGTTGTTTGTGAAAGACTTGATCTTTGAGGTGTGTCCTGCAAATGTACATGCATTACCTATATTTTTGTATTTTCTATCAGTTTTGTATATGTATTTGACATCCACTCAATATGCTCTACATTATCATAGAGAAAGAATAAATGTAGCTCTGAAAAGAGGGATACTTCACTGGGATATTCTAAGAAATTTTCAAGAATTAGTTTGATCTATATCCCAGCAACTTTATAAAGGCACAGAAGACAGGATTGGAAGGGATTGGGACAGATTGTCTTGTATACCCTTCTTGCCTAACTATACATAAGTCTTTCTTGACAGTTCTGGCTATTTGTTAAATTTTCTTTTTGATAAGGCTATTGTAATAGTAGCCTTGTTGCTGACCCAGACTGCTGCCACTATCTGTTGGTGGAATCTTGTAAAATGTATTTGTCACGATGCAAAGCAATGTGTGTAACCAGAGGCACATACTCCAAACTAAAACGGCAGTTAATAATCAATGTTACAGTAGTCTCAATGGTGAAAACAAGTTTTGATTCTATGAAATACATGTATTGCTGTGTAATTTTAAAACCAAATATAAGATGATCATGGTAAAATGAATGTATATACTATAAAAGTGATTTATGTATACTTTAATAATTTCAAATGACAAAAAAAATAGGATTTCACTGTTCGCTTATTTCATGAAACAGTGATTTTGAGATGTGATTAAAATTTTAAATTTTTTCACTAAGTGGCTCACCAGTTGTCCAGAATACAGATATGGTTCGGGCTGTTGCCATCTCAATTCTATACTTTGCCAGCATGTTGTATCTCTTCCTTATTTAAACCTTAAGCTTGCATTAATCTCCACACAAGTGGGGTTTGTGCCCATGCTTACCTTCAGGATAAATCACAGGGTACTCTGTGTGGGTGTCACTCCTGCGGGGCTTCTGTCTAGAAGCTCTTCAGCCCAGGGACTGCTGTTAGTTTAGGAGGGGTGCATAGGCACACACGTTGCTGTTCTGGGGGCTGAACCGTGTAGGTAAGAAGACTATGTTGCTTTTGTGACACGACCTAGAGTAACTTACTGTGGTTTTGAAGAGAGATTGGATTTCTACCTCAGCGCTGCCAGACTCAGAGCATAATGAGTCTTTTCTTTCCATTATTTGAACAGCTAGGAAGAACATCTCTTTTTCTTCTTGGCTGTCAGTTTTGGAGGCTAGTCACATGAGAGTGGAAGGGATGTACTAAAGGAAGCAGAAGCTAAAATACTAAGGAAGTATTACATAAAGATTCTTAAGGTTAAGCTTGAATAAAACAGAGAAGCGTTACAAATTTATTGGAAGATGCGGTAGAAAAAAGCCATACCTGTCTATGGCCAGATCCAGCCATTAGTATTTGTGCCAGCTGTAGGCTTTATTAAAGCTGCTGTGCCACAAGCATGGCACGTCAGAGAAGATTAAGGTCTTTGCGTCAATTCTTACTGGACTCATAAATGTGTTCATAAACTACTTTTATGCACTATTGTTATGGACCTAACACAGAAATAATGGCATCAACAAGACACAGACCCAGGAGTCTTGAGGCTGTCTTCAAGAGTGATTGGTTGTAGTTGGTATGTTGTAGTTGCACCTCTAGAATAATAATTAAAAAAAAGTTATGATTCCATCATCAGCTGTTTATTATAAGGGAATAATCAAGAAATTCTTTTGCACTAAAACTGAGACCTGGTGCACATTCAAGAAAAAACAAATAATCAGGACACCAGCATTTTTCTGTTTTCAGTGTTCTGATGCATCATAAGGGATGTATGAAAAAAATCTTAAATAAGCATGGCTTAAGGTCTACTTTTTCTAAAGCCCCCTTGTACTAAGTCTCGCTCAGATGGAGTTAATTTTGTTCATAGCAGTCCCTGCGGTACTGTGTTCGGGATTTGTGACTAAAACAAGGTTGATAGCACACCAGTGGTTTGACTTTTGCTGAGCAGCGCTTGCACAGTGTCAAGCTTTTCTCTTTTCCCACTCTACTGCTGCAGCGAGTGGGCTGGAGGTGGGCAGGGGGTTAGGAGGGAACACAACCTGGACAGCTGGCTCCGGTTGACCAGAGGGATATTCCACTCCATATAATGTTGGGCTCAGCAATAAAAGCTGAGGAGAAGAGGTTTTGGGAGAGGTAGCCGTTGTTTAGAGCTTGGCTTGGGCATGGGTCTGCTTGTGGGAGGTGGCGAGTGATTGCCTTTGCATCCCTTGTTTTGTTTTTTCTTCCTCTTTCCTTCACTTATTAAAGTATGTCTCGACCCACGAGGTTCCCCAGTTGTGCTCTCTGTTCTCCCCCCTCATCCTGCCAGGGGCTGGGGAGGGAGGGAGGGAGGGAGCTGCCGCGGGGTCCTTGGCTGCTGCCCACGGTCAGCCCACCGCACCCACGGAGCAGCATCCTCCAGGAGATCCGCGGCTCCGGTGGGCGATCCTGGAGTGCAAACTGAGGTGCCAAATGCGTGTCTAAGGGTGCAGGTTTGTGTTATGCACAGTTGTGGGGAGGTCTTCATGTGAATTCAATAGGTCAAAGAACAGACACTCAATCAATGCTGGTTGTTGTAAACTTCTTATCGAAATTGTTTGGTGTTCAATTGCAACTTTTTTTTTTTTACTTTTTAATAGTGCCTCTTTCTTACTTCTTTCTTGTTAACTGTTGTTAACATGGTTTTGACTGGCCGTTTACCATAGCCAGCTAGAATAATAAAAGTAAACATGAAAGATACACATACAGCCTACATCATAGTAAAAAAAAAAGATACTGAACCAAAACCAAGCAGAGGAATGAGAACTAAATCCCTGTGAGTAATGATGACTGGTTGTATTCTGCACTCCTTCAGATTTGTTAGAAAAAAATGTAGTCTAGAACACTGAGGGCCCCATAATACTAACACTGATGTTTCCTTAGAGCCATTCATTGTTTACTACCTGAAATAGTAGGCCTCTGCAAAGTCGTATCCTATACAAGAAAATTGTATACAGTAACTCTGCAGTTTTGTCCTACCGCTGCTGCGTGATACTGTTGTAATCTTGGTGGTGTTAACTGCAGTAAAGTAATTTAAGAGCAAAATCTCTTAAAATAGCTCATTTAAGCTTACTCTGTGTGGAAAGCAGAGTGCTTTTACACTAGCTCTCTCCAGGACGCTACTTATTTTCAGTCTATTTCATGGCACTTTTCAAACACTTTTGGAACACATTTGCACCTAATACCTAACTACACAGGCAAAATCATCAGACTTCAATACAGTCAGATTTGTATTTGATACATATCAGGTAGAAATAATTTGATTCTGATGTCTGTCAAAGCGGTTGAAAAAATCTGGGTTTTTTTTTGTATAGGATGAGTATCTAGGTGAGATTAAGTCATCAGGGCAAGATGCAAAACTCATGGATGCCAATGGATATCTTCCCAGTTACTTCAGTAACTTTATGCCAATCCCAGTGAAATGATTCATTTCAGGATGGGCTTGAGGAAGTATTGACAAGTTTTTGAAGAAATGGTGATGGGAGGGAGGGCTGAGAGAGAAGTACCATGGACGCAGCTGGGTCAGACATTTCAGAGGCAGAAATTAATAGAAGGGGAGCAGCAGTGCTTGAAGGCAGGTGCTACTATACATACAGTATAGCATATATTATTTTGAGTGATGTTCAATGCCTCAGTTTAATAGGGTGGATAACAAAGGCAGAAAGTTAGGATTTAAAATCAAACTGCTGTTGGTTACATAAAGAAACTAACCTTTAATGTGTCGCAGTAGCAATAAGTGATTTTTTCTGTGTCTCGACTGGAATCATTGCTTTACTAGAGGATATAGTATCATTACATTGGGATAAGTGGTTTATAAACACGTTCTTGTTTGAAACAAATAAATAGAGCTAACAGACTTTTCAACAGTTGCTTGTTTAGATTTACTGTAAATATTAAATGTTTTATGTATACTCAAAAAGTACTTGAGACTGAAAATATTTAGTGTTTTACAGATCCCTTGAGTAAGTGATATAAACTGATAATCTGTCACTGTGAATAATGAACAAAGTAATTCCAGATTTGGAAATGTTTCCTTGAATGCCAGTAGGAAAAACCTGTAGCAATCAAGAACAGAAAGATTTTTGTGTGCGAATTTGACAATTGAAACATTAATGACAGCGAAAATGAAAGCTGTCACTTACCTTGGTTTGAGAAAATGCAGGTCTGCGTGTGTTAACTGGCGAAATCATCAAAACAACAAGATCTACTATCTTGTGAAATAAGCTTAAGAATCCATCAAATAACCTTAAGGTTATTTCCCTGCATCTTGTATCTACTCGAAGAGAAGAAATCATTTTTCCTTTCATCATAGGCTAAACGTTGACTTCTATTCAGGAATGGCTTTTAAAAGGCTATTTTTTTCAATGAAAAATAGGTAATTGTGTTATAATAAATTTTTTGAATTTCTGTACTAATCAGTTTTGAAGTTTCAACAATATTTATCTTATAATTATATGTTCAATTGTAAATAATAGAGAACAGACTTTTGTGGCATTTTTGTGGCTTTTGTATGCCAGGGCCACATGTATATGGGCAAAAAAGAATGTTTTTTTGTGTGACAAAGCGATTCAAATTTTCATCTGAAAATATTGTGGAAGGTAACTAAATATAAACAAACTCAACTGTAAATTGCTGTTACAAAAGCTGCCGAGTATTATTTTGCGTGATTAAACACAATATGACTAAAAGACGTTTTTAAAGAGGAATTATTCTGGTCTGGACAAGAGAACAAATTAAAAATCAACTTTATTAGGAATTATTTCAAAGGTAACTACATGAGAATCTAAGACAAGTTAGATTTTATGCTGTCTTGTTTTTAATTTTCAAAGATGAGTTTTATTCACATAGAGGAAAAATACCACCGAAACTAATATCTTCGCTTTTCTTTTGACTTAGAAAAGACTGACCAGGAGAATACTGTGGCAGGAGATAAAGACATAAAACAGCCTTCCAGTAACCAAAGTATACAACCAGAGATACAAGACCAGTCCGTCTGGGGAAATCACACTGATGGTGACCTCATCAGAAGTAAGTATTTCCAGAACAAATTGCTGTCATTTAGGCTTGCTTTCAAAGTGTAGCGGGATACTGCCTGTTGACTCAGTTAAATGTGTGTCAAATGCAATTCTGTTGCAACTGTAATGCCTATCTACCAAATTTATTTCTGAGTGACTCCTGTCAGCATGCATAAGCAATGAGTTCAAAGAAAGGTGTGATTTGAGTGGTATAATATAGACATCTGTAGTGTCTACATTTTAAAGCTTTTTACGTTATATTCTTCTCTTATCATTCATAATGGGATCTGTATATTTTTTAGGTATATGAGCTGCAGTATGCAACTCTGCTAGGTGTCATCACCCTTAATTTCTCAGGTTGTACTTTTAAGTGGCAGAGTAAACTATGCTGAGAGGAGTTGCTTCCAGATGCACTGAGTACTGGTCAGGTGTAAGTTTGTAGAGTTTTGAATCCTAAAGCAGTTACTCCTTTGAAAACTAGAAGAATGCTGTAAGACAAGGTCAAGGTTTTAGACCTGTACTATGGATCTGTGGGGTTTTTTAATTAGTTTTTATAAGTCCACATTCCTACTGTATGTCCTGGATGCTTTAAAACATGAAAAGGTATGCAAGATTATTCCCATTTTTCTGTCTTGAACTGAAGATCATATGCTGTCCAAAAGATCATCTTCAATTGCACCCTCCTGAGGTGAAAATATTTCTGTCAACTGCCAGAGCTAATACTATTTCAAAATTATTTGAATGCTTGAACGTTAGTTGCTCATGGGAGGGGCAGCATGAGAAACTTCTCTAATTACAGGGTGTATTCAGAAAGCAAATGGACTAAATGCTGAATGGTGCTCCAGCTCTCCGAGATCGTTGTCTGACCACACACTTCAGGGTCAGTCTGTCTTTACACTGTATACGTACTGCGCTGTAGACAGTGGGATAAACTGATATTTCTGAACCTGCTGTTGTCATAACTGGTGATATTCTCTGGAGTTACCTCCAGAGGTAGTTTCTTTTTAGGTGTTTTTTTGGTTGTTTTGTGGTGTTTTTTTAATCTTCTCTATACAATCAACTTCTCCTGAACTTTGTATTAGCATTAGAAGTTCTTTTCAAATCTTGGTTAATCCTTTTTTCTAAATAATGAATCCCAGTAAATACTTATACCCTCAATGTATTGAATAGTTATCTAGATCCTTTACAGGAAACTTGAATTTAGCATGTCAGATGTTTATCTGACAATTAAAAAATAATTCTTAAAGGGCTGTAAAGAGGGAGAATTGTCCTGCACAGCTTGAGAGTTTGCTTAATCCCAAAAGATTATTATTTTACACCTAACTGTCCCTGGACAAGCAATTGCTTTGTGCTTGTGTTGAGGACATGGAAGGTGCGTATGGCATCTGCAGCTTTTGGAGTGGCCTCCTTCTCATTTCCTCTTCCTAGAGGCTTCCTTATGCCCAGAGCGGTGGGAAAGCAGATTTATTTCGTAGCAGTTAGCAGCATGCGTGAACTATGGAGGAAGGGAGCAAGGACAGTCGGGTGGTGCTGTGCCTCCTCTAATCCATTCCATTCACTGCAAGGACATATGGTAGTGGCTGCACTGGGGAGGTGGGAGAGGAAAAGATAATTTTTTTCAACTTATAGTAGAAATTGCAACAGATTGTGCAAGTCCTTGCTAAGTGACTTGACAGTTATATGCAGTTATATGTCTCTTCAATGGGAGGGTTATCTCCTGCTGAATTAAAAAAGTAACAGGGAAAAGGGCAAAGATAGGATAAAATTCACAGGTATAATGTACTGCTCCAGTTTGCATAACTGTGCTCCTCCTGGAGTCACTAGTAGTTTTACGTTTGACTGACTTTGTGAAAAGCAAGTTCAGGTGAAAGCTGAAAGCTGGAAGTTTCTAAAATTCCTAATCTTAATAATTGAATTTTGTATAGTAGTGGCTTTATGGAACTATTGGCTTTATTTGAGTAGGTGCTATGATGCAATCCTCTCTTTGTTTCAAATTCATGATTTTTATTAACCTTTAATATTAAAGTTGTCTAGATGGAAGAAACAAAAAAGATGAAATTAAAGGAGCTTCTTTTTCTTCTTTTTTGGGGGCTGTGGCTATGAGTAGAGAAGTCTGTTCTACTTGAAAAAATTGAGGAACAGTGTTTGGCTCAATTACAAGTACTTCTTGTAGTTTACAAAGGTTTTACAGCTTGATCGACCTAGTAACTAAAGTTTGAAAAATTGGACAAGTAGAGCAAAGAGAAGCTTGTTTATCACAAGCATTACTTAGGTATTTAATCTTAAATAACAGGTATCGTAGCTCAGAATGGCTGTGATTCAACCAGATCTATTACCCCACTAGACTAAAGTTTGCAGAATATTGCATATTAAAAGAAGCTTGAGGTTAGAAATAAACAGTGTTTTGATTATTACAGTCTATTTTAAAACTGTTTCTTTAAATTGTTTTAAACGGGGCATACTTCAATTTTCTCAGGTATTAACAACTATTCACCACTATCCTAATGATTCAGTTTCTTTTTTTCCCATACAGATTGTTTTCCACCCCCACAGTTGATACATACTCCATTGGTGTTAGCCTTAGTTTTCACTTTATAAATGTTTCCAGTGTTTAATTTCCAAGGTTTTCCTTGTTTGCAGCTGTTTTATCCTGCTGTTATATGGACGTAGATTAATCAGTTTTATTGGCACGCCAACAACGAAGTCCAGTGTTAGAGACTCTATAATGACTTCATTATGTATGATTTCTCATTTGCACTTGTGAACTCAGTTTACCAGGCAACATCAATAAACTCAGATGCTGCCCCCGTTTTCCACAGTAAGATGTTTTCAGTTCACGTTGCCCTGCCCTTGCAGTCCTTTTCTCAAGCCCTCTTTTTTTAATCTCTAGATGATGATATTTCCCCCAGATTAGCCCTTTCCTCACCTCCTTTGGAGCATCCCTCCTCTCCCCGAATGAAAACATTCATAATACCCAGGGTAAATGGGTAATCTTATGGGAAGCTTCAACCAAGGAATTAATCATTTTTGAAGAGAGCTTGAGAGTCAAAAGGTTACTGTACGCTGACATATAAAAAGGGAAGAGCTAAATAAGAAGAAAATGGTTATATTACCCTTCTGTATTAATTGTTAATGCACTTGCATAACTGTTACTGGAGTACCACGTTCAGCTGGAGAAGGGTCAGGGGAGAACCACAGATATCTCAGGAATGACTGGAGTAGTTGAAAACATGCCTTATTCTGGAAAAACTCCTGGAATTCAGTCTGTTTAGTGTTAACAAGGAGGGTAAAGAGGGGCTTGCCTGGTCCCTAAGAAGCATGATACCACAAGGAACGGCAATTTGGTAAGACAATTCTTCAACTGTAGCAGACAAAGAGAGAGCTAGATGTAATACCTGGAAGTTCAGTTAGACTAGAAATAAGGTGTACATTTTTTAACAGAGTATTTGATAACAGGAAGAACTGCCAAATAGTTGGTGTTTTTAGGTGTGTTAAATTGGCTTTATTCTTCACAAGGTGGCCATTGCTATCCATATCCTTCAGTTTTAGAACCTGAGTAAGGGAGAGTCTCTTTTGCATAGCAGTTCCCCCAAATTGGGATAACCTCTATATTTTTCAGCTCAGGTATTCTTCAAGGTACTGTTGAGATCTATTCCTTTCCCTTCACAGATGTGCACATATTTTGTATTTTATTTCAGGCTGTAGAGGTTCTACTTTTTGAAAAGAGCTTAGCCTTAGAATAGCTCCATCTGCTTTTCTGTCTTCGGCAGTGCATTTTAAATATTTGCAAACGCCTTCTGCTTATTTTCATTGTATGATCTGGTGGCCTGAAATGGAGATGTTCTGCTTCTGTTATTATTCACCTTTGGCAAGTGAGGAAGAGTGGATGTTAAAACATGCGGCAGGGATGTTAAAACTTGTGGCTATAGGAATGAAGCCATAGGAGGTTTTGCTGCTCCGTGCTACCACAATGCCCCGCTTTGTTCTTTGGGAAAGGTTGGGGATTTTTCCCCCCCTCCTTAAAAAAAAAAAAAAAAAGGTGGATTTCAGAATATTTAGGCAGAATTTTTACAGAGGGTACTGGGTCGTCATCAATGTGTGCTGTTATGCAGAGGAAGGAATGTTTAGGAGAGAAGAAAATGCCAGTCTTGAACACTATTTGCTTGTGAGGATTTAATCTCCTTTCCAGTTCTCAAGCAGGACCTTAGCTATGTGATATTTAAGAAAACAAAAAACATCTACCATAGATTCAAATTGTCATGAATAATTGATTAATAATAATCCAATTCTCAAGATTAAATACCTAAAATATGCCCATGTTTTACAGATAGAAAGGTCATTGCTATCCATCATTTCCTAGCTTCAATTGCCTCTTTCTCCTCCATGAAAAAACCTCCTGATAAGAGTGGTTCTTCAGAGAAAGGGATGCTTCATTCAATTCTGTGGGGATTAAACAATTTTACATGTTCTTGTGCCCACTATTTTATTTACTACATTCTTCTTTATTGCATTTTGTTTTATTGAGATATAAACCTAGATATTTTTATTTTTGTTTTCTGTATTTTTATGTTGACATTTTTACTTTACATGACTATTTATTTAATTTTAATGTCTGGAGATTCGCTTTTCCTTCTGGCTAAGTAAGTGAGTGATTTCCTTAGTTTAAATTATGCACTTTGGGTTTGGGACTTTTTTCCCCAACAAGAAGAAGAAAATCTGCCGTTAGAACTGTTCTTTTTGTTTTATATAAATCCAAATATATCTTCTTGGATCATTTATGGTACACAGTCATCTTACAATTATTGTGATTTCAGGTGATTGTGTTTATTCTGTCCAAAAAATAGTGCAGAGTGCTTGAGATAATTTAAACGGTTCTCTTCAAAGCTAGAAAGTATGACAGATGTGGTCTTCCTGCAGCATAACTGAGTGTGTGAGTACAGAAATCGTGCAGAATAGATTAATGGAAATTATTCAAAATAATTGCTGAGTCTGAAAGGTGTATTCTTTTAGTTA